TTATTTTTTTTTTTTTTTTTTTTTTTTTTTTTTTTTTTTTCACTAATTCCACGTTCTTTGGAAAATTGTTTATATCAAATTAATGATCCTTTAATGTGTTTTCTTCAGAAAAAAAATACGCTAATAGAAATTCATTTTTATCGTATGATAAAAATGATTTGTCATATACATGAAAGTGTATATCAAAATTTTTAAATTAATAATAAAGATTGTGAATCACTTTTTTGTAAAACATATTTTCAACAAAAAACTTTTGTATCGATCAATCGTTTTAAATCGTTAATCAGTTAAGAACGTGTTTGGAAATGTAACGCGTTAGGTGGAGTAGTAACATCAGGTATATTTGAATCGCAAGTAGTCCAACTCAAGATAGATACCAACGATCAATGTAAGAAGAAGGGAGAAGCATTACTTTGAAAGAAGAGAAACGAGGGATGTTCTCTCAAGCAGTCACCAAGGATTATCGATGCGATGGCCACGGTAAAAGTTTCTCTTAACTACTTCTAACACTTCTCGTGATGGATAGCCTTGAGTATATGTGAGAGAGAAAGAGAGAGAGAGAGGGGTGGTGAGGGTCAATAAAGGGAAGGAAAGAAGCTTTTAAACGCGTCCATATAAAGAATATCGCATGTTGCTTGTATGGGGTGATAGGAGGGGGAAAGGGTGAAAGGGGTAAGAAAAAAATATAATACCAGCTTTGGTTTGCAAATCGAACGATCATTTTAAGCTTGTATTTGCTATGACTAATATTGGCGAATTTCGATTCGGTTTTGTGATATATCTAATTTAGATGATATCTTTGATATATACGATAATGTTTATAATATATTTGTATATACGTTCGGATATGTAGATTGAAATCGAAAACAATAAGCAAGGTATATTTATATATTAATCGATAATATATATATGTACACGTTGAAAAATAAAGAGATACAGTTAAATTGATATTTTTTTGTTCTTAATATCATATATAACATGTTACTTTAAATTGTAATATAAATTATAATTTCGTAGAAAGAATGATGATCGATACGTTTGATACGTTTTACCGAACGAATTTAATAAACGAACAAACAGATGAATGAATGAATGAATGAATGAATGAACGAACGAACGATTGAATGGTTGAACAAATGCTATGGGGGTTTTAATTGGAAGCTTTTGGTTAGTTTCGTTTGTAAAGTGAAATATCTAAAATAAGTTTATTTGTAAAGAGATTTTTTCGAAGGATCGGTAAGAGGTTTATTTTGGCATTTTTACAGTTCGAATGAAAGTACGAACGAATGAACGAAATGTAACGATCGTTATGGACTTGTCCAATGGCATCATCGACCTCATGGACAAGATATATATAACCGGAGGTGAACATTTCTAACGACACTTTCATACTCGAGTCAGTTTCTATTCCCCACAATTCCCTCTCGATTCCCTCGATGATACTTATCTCATGAATATTTTATAAAGTTTCGTTCGACCGATACAAGGATCTCTCGATTAGTTATGCATCGTTCGTGTATGTTACTTAGTCTTAGATTTATATTTTTGCGAAATGTTTCGCGATCTTATTTCGACATTAAATGTTCATTATTTAAAGTAAGATACCAACAAATACGATTCGTATATGAGATTTACATACGAGTCACATACGATTCACGTAGGATTGGTATACGATCTTTGATATTTTTCAATATATTTCATAGAATAGGTTTTTTTGTTTTATAAAAAAAAGAAAAAGAAAGAAAAAAGAATTGCATCTTTCGTGCATCTTATTCGCGATTTTCGTGAAATGTTTCGATCTTATTTCGACATAAAATGTTCATTATTTAAAGTAAGATATCAACAAATACGATTCGCATATGAGATTCACATACGTTTCACATACGATCTTTGATATCAAATATATTTGGTAGAATTTTTGTAACTCAAAAAAAGAAAAAAGAAAGAAAGAACTTTGATTCAACGTTGTTAAAGTAGTATAACTTTTGCGCCGATTTTTCATCCGATTTTTCATCCGATTTTTCATCCGATTTTTCATCCGATTTTTCGAATCACGTTAGTTTATAATTTAGTCACCGCGTACTTAATAATTAAAAATATTCTCTCTACCTCAAAGAGAAGATGATTTAATTTTTTTATTCGATTCCATTTCATTCATTTCATATATATATATATATACGGTAGCAATTTAACGAACCGAAAACATAAATTCGAAAAATACGAATCTAAAAGAAACCAAAATGAGAGTGTACACATGCACATACAAAAGAAAAAAGACACGACTTTCGTAAATAACTTTTATTTAAAAAATAACTACTTTTATAAAATAACTTTAATAATAATAAAAAAAAGAAAGAAACAAAAACTAAGTAACTAAACGTGTACGTGGTATGCGTAGATAAAAGATTTCGCAGTACGTTTTTAAGAAAATATTGAGAGAGAGAAAAAGCGTATGATATTGAAACAATATAATAAACTCTCTGAAAATTTTTCATACAAACAGTATATCAAATATCATCCTCTTACTCAACGTGAACATATTCATATATCTAAGAATATCAACGTAATCATGACAATTGAACGACATAGGTTGATTATTATATTTTCCAGTAAGTCATAGAAATTTTTATTATACTTTTTCAATATGTTATATGTGAATCTTTTCATATTTATGAGATGGAATATATGGTGACCAGAATTACATATTCAAGAATTGATCATAGAACAAATTGACAATAGAATCAATTGACAAATAGACAACTTTTAACGTATTAGTATTATTTTAAAAAAAAAATGTTCCCTGCATTCTATAAAATGAATCCAGTAAAAAAATATCAGTCATTTTAAAAATTTATATTATACTTATCCGATGTCATAACTTCAAAATTGAATATATGGTGATCAGAATTACATATTCAATAATTGACAATAGAATCAATCGACAAATAGACAACTTTTAACGTATTAGTATTATTTTTTAAAAAAATGTTCCCTACATTCTATAAAATGAATCCAGTAAAAAAATATCGGTCGTCTTAAAAATTTATATTATACTTATCCGATGTAATAACTACAAGATTGAATATATGGTGACCAGATTACTCTATCATATTCAATAATTGATCATAGAACAAATTGACAATAAAATCAATTGACAAATACACAACTTTTAACGTATTAGTATTATTTAAAAAAAAAAAATGTTCCCTACATTTTATAAAATGAAATCCAGTTAAAAAAAAATATTGGTTGGCGAGTAACGCGCGCCACGTACGTACGTGGCGCGCGTCACTCGCGCTACCTCTCGTCGTCAAGCGGCTGTTTCGTGCGGATTGCTCCTGCGCTCTGTGAGGGATGCTGCGAGATAAGCAGCCCCGCAGCAGCCGACCAACCCCTCACCCCGTCAACTACCCCCTCAATCCTCACCTCCTCCCCTCACGTCACGAAGGACGACGCGAGAACAGCAGTGAGAGCCAGGCCGCCGCCATAGCCGCTCCCCGGGCAACGAAGGAGGAGAAACCGTCGAATTTTCTCTCTTTTTTTCCCCTGTCTGTCTGTCTATCTATCTATCTATCTATCTATCTATCTATCTATCTATCTATCTATCTATTTTTAATTCGTCAACTTTTCTTCCTATCTTCATCCGATCTTTCGCATTTATCCGGTCACAGTTCGTACGTTCATTCGTTCATACGTTCGTTGGCTCGGTAGCTTTAACCTTTATTCCTATATTCTTATTATAATTATATTCATTTTTCATTTTTTTCTTTTTTTATCTATCTGTCTGTCTGTCTGTTAGTCTGTTACTCTGTCCCTTTTTCTCTTTTTCTTTCTCTCTCTCTCTCTCTCTTTTTCTTACGTCTCAGTGCGTGAGTACGTGATTGCGTGATTGCGTGCGTGCGTGCGTGCTTGCTTGCTTGCTTGCAGTGTGCACGTTAATTTCTTTTTCTTTTTTCTCCTTGTTGTTTTGTTCTCATCCCATATCGTGTCAGGTTAAATTGGCGATCGTCGTTTCTCTTGTTTTAATAATCTCGTGTTTAGAATTAAACGGGTGAATTATAATTATGTCATATCGATCGTGAAATGATGATAACAATTTTCACTATTTAATTGCCAAAGGATTTATTCTATTCTACGAACTGTCGAAAAAAAAAACAAAGGGGGATTTAAAAAAAAGATAGATAGATAGATAGAGAGAGAAAGAGAGAGAAAGAGAGAGAGAGAGAGAGAGAGAGAGAGAGAGAGTGAAAAAGAAAAAGAGAAAGAGAGAAAGAACGAACGAGGGTTGTCGTTTTAAATAGTGCGTGTCAAACGAGAAAAAAAAACAAAAGAAATAAAGAAAGTGTATTTATTTCTCTTGCGAATATAAAAAGAAAAAGATGAAATTATTGTGATATTCGGAACAAAGACGTGGTGCGAGCTTACGTGTCGACTCTACTAGGTGCAGTGTCGAAAGGAAGAGTTAACGGCGCGCGCGAGATGGTGCGCGATAAACTAATACACATACGTACTTACATATGTCGTTTAAATGCGACCAACCAAGAACTTGTTAGATACATAAACGCATAGGTACATATGTGTTTTGTTGGTACATACGTAATACATAATACATGAATACATATATACATACATATATATATATATATTGTATGTACGACCAATTTATGAAATTCTCGGTTATCGAGTTTACAAAAAGAAGGGTCGGATTTAAAGTAAACAAACAAACAAACAAACAAATAAACGAATAAACGAACGAACGAACGAACGAACGTAACATAATACGTAACGTAATGTAATGCAAAAAGAAATATGTTTCAATAATTAATTCAAATAGGAACGAACGAACGGACGTACGAAGGGAAGGGAAGGAAAGAAGAAAAAAAGAAATAAAGAAGAAGAGTTGGGGGAAGAGGAGAAGGGAGAGAGAGAGTGTGTGTAGGTTCGGACACGTGCCGAATACCACGAGCCAACCAACCAACCAACCAACCAATTCCGCGAGTATCGAAAAAATAGAAAGAAAGAAGAAAAAACTGGGATGGAGATTAACGGAAGGAGCAGTAATAACAGGAGAACTATCGGTGACGATGCTTGGTACATCTACCTGTGTACGTTTAAGATATTTTATTTTTTATTTTTTATAAGTTAACCCTTTCGTTACGACAAGTTTGCCCAATTGGAATAATGCCATTGAACAAATTACCGTGACGTAAAGTGTATACATTAGTTTAATCGGTTCGATTTTCGCATTTACGTTTTTCAACGCCACCGTTATCAATTTATTTTGATATCTAAAATATATTACGTGCCTTTAAATATATATTTTTAGTAAGATTAATCTAATACAGGTCAATGAAATCGAGATATACTCAACAGATAAAGTAGAATCGTCTTGCCGATTATTTATAGTCGGCACCCGTACACACGGCTAGTCGCGCGGACGCCGACTATAATCGGCATCCGTAACGAAAGGGTTAAAGAGAGGTGTTCCAAAAAAAAAAAAAAGAGAAAGAAATAAGGGTGAGCGCGAAAGGCTAGCCGCTAAAAACTTCTTTGCTTTGCTCTGCTTCACTTTGCTTTGCTTTGCTTTCTTTCTTTCTTTCTTTCTTTCTTTTGGACTTTACCGTACCAAACTCGACTCTGGCGCGCCGTTGTCGACATTCACCCCCTCTCTCTCTCTCTCTCTCTCTCTCTCTTTTATTTTTTTTTTTTTTTTTTTTTTCTTGTTGCTTTTACTTTTACGCAAAGCTTCTCGTGAATAAGAGAGAGAGAGAGAGAGAGAGAGAGAGAGAAAGACGAGTAGAAAGTTCGGCCCTCTTTAAGGAGGCGTTCCCGGAGTTACTTCCGAAGAAGACATCCGAGCTTGCGTGCCCCGAGCTACAAAATATTTACCACGTCCGATCGATGAACCGAGAGAAAGAGAAAGAGAAAGAGAGAGATAGAGAGAGAGAGAGAGAGAGAGAGGAGAAAGAGAGGGAAAAGAGGGAAAGAGAGGGAAGAGAAGGAGACAGTGTCAGGGAGACAGAGGAGAATGTAAATTTGAATTTTACTTTCGCGCGAACTAACGACGATGATCCATAAACTCTCTTTCTTGTTGGTACCTTGTAATCACTATCTTCCAAAAAGAAAGTAACGAGATACCCCCACCACCACCACCCACTAAGAAAAACATTGAACTATATATAAACTACGTGTTTTAGGCATGATTAAGCTTGGAAACAAAAAAAAAAATAAAAAAAAGAACTCGATTAATATTTTATTCTTTTTTTTTTTGTCAAACGACGCGTGGTGTATACGATTTAACTTGGAAACAATTTCTCATGGTATTAACGTTGTATTTTATATATAATATTATAGAAAAATAGAAAATAACAATGTTTGAATATATATACAATAGTTTTACATGGAACTAAACATTTTTATATTACTACGCGACAAACCAATCTTTTCGTAGTTTTTCCTTCTATACCAAATTTAAGGGATGATCTGGTTTACGAGTTAGTTTCGATCCATCTTCTTATTCTTGTAGTAATTTTCTTTTTTTTTTTTTTTTTCGCTTTTTACGACCAACTATCCGAAACGTGCGATGTCGGTATTTTTGGGGGGGATGGGTGGGTGCGGTAAAGGGGAGAGGTCTGTTTTTTTCTTTTCACAACCGAACGTTTTCACGTTCGGAGAAATCGTTCGGCAATTTTCCAGTCAGTCGCGTCTACAACGAACCCCCGTTACATTGACGCGTTTTGAAAGGAGTTTAGGTACGTATATAGCGCGCCAATAGCACCTTACACATATCATCGCCTATTTTGCGACAGTTTGTATGTACTACGTACACATATATATATATATATGTATATATATATACATAGAAGAAAACACGCGTGTATCAGACTTCAAAGCTAACGCTTGTTACGTTCCATGCATTCGTTGGATGCCACTTAAGTTATTCACTCGTTCTAACTTATCCATTTTATTTATTCATATATGCTTATTTGATTTGATATCATTTTTTTGTGGATAACGATCTATATAAATATATATTTATTTATTTACATATCGATCTAATAATTTAGTCGAATTAATCGAAAATAATCCAAAGTTCGGGGGATTTATTTTTTAATTAATTATGAATTCGCGAAAGAGGAAAATTGAAAATTGTAGATACATTGTTAAAAAAAAAAAAAAAAAAAAAAAAAAAAAAAAAAAAAATACGCGAAAGGTGTTACGCGAGTGGTAGAAAAAGAAAAAGAAAAAGAAAGATAAAGAGAGATAGATAGAAAGAGATAAAGATAGAGAAGCAAGTTGGTTGAATCCGGAAATCCGATTAAATGCATTCGAGATGTCGAAAGTCGGTCGCATTAAAACGATCACACTCAAACCATCGTTGAGTATATCCTTCCGTATTGAAGATGCATCTTTAACTCTGGGCTCTTTAAAAAAACGTTCTTACGTTAATAAATTCGCGAGAAGAATATAAATAAGATGATTTTGGATGTATACCGATCGGGCTGTATATTTGTATAGCTTGTTTGATTAAAAAATAATGATACGCATTGAAAAAAAATAATAACTTTTCGAAGAAAAACGAGAGACAAGTATCGATAACAACGATTTTTTTGTTCCCCTTTGATTAATAATACGAACTCATCTTTATATTATATTCCTTTATCAAAAATTTGCGTATGCGTGTGCGTGTGCGTATACGTAAATATGTATTTTATGATAATTTTATAAGATACTTGATCAAATGTATCTATAAATTTATTCACGATTATCCTATCTTTAAAAAATCCTATTTTTTTAGGCTCAATTCATTGGCGGGGTGGTTTTTTGGTAAAATGGATAAGCAAAAAAGGTTAACGCATTTGAGGATCGTCTTATATTTCCTCATCGTGATCGAGGGGGTAGTGAGATTGTTTAAATATGTTAACCCTTGTGTCAGTTGAACGTGCAAAGTATTTAAGAAAAAACAAAAAGAAACAAATATTTAACATTTATTATAAACGTTTTCTGACCTACTCGCGATACGCGATCGTCGTTGCATATATTATTCCCATCTTGCTTTTTATTTTACATACAATATTTTCTTTTTTCTTCTATCCAATCGGAAAAATAATATCTTTATCGACTAGCCGAGTATTTTTAACCGTCATTGTCGTCGTCATAGTTGTCTTCATCGATCCGACCGTAAGGATTCTTACTTAAGCGAAAAATAAAATCAAATAAAATCAAATCAAATCAAACAAAAATGGCAATGAAAATCATTTGACGTTTAAAATTCGTTTAAAATTGTATTTAATAAAAAAAAATAGCGAAAAAAGAAAAACAAAGAAGAAAAAAGGAGACCGAAATGATTTTGTCTTCTCGAAAATTTTCCCCCTTTTATTTTTTTTTTTTTTCTTCATAATTTACTTCATCGTTCTCTTTTTTTGTTTTTAAAAATTTTTTTGTTTTTTATATATATACGAGCGAGAGAGATAAAACGAAAGGGGGATGGCATTTAGAGGATGGAATAATAAAAAGACGTTTTTGTTAAGCAGTTTAACCGATTAACCGTTGAAACGTGATAGCCTTTCCTATTTTCGAAGGTAGCTTAAAAGGAATAATTAAGGAGGACTAGACGAAGAGGTTTGATTAAGTGGATGAGTGCTCTCTAGGGTTGCGTTTAATAGAACCGTGCTTTGAGACGGACGGAAAGGGAAGGATTTTCGTTCTTTAGTATATAAACCGAAAAAGGAGGGGTGGCGGGAGGGGTCGTGGCCGGGGAAGGAAAGTGACTACTATTCATCTTAGCCTCGTCATTTAAGGTAATTCTAATGAAGCGAAACTAAAGATCACGTTTCATTGGTATACGTTAGTATTATTAGAGTTCAAGGATAAAATAGAAATTAGTAGAACATGAATTTATATACGAACGAAAACGAGAACGAAAGATAGAGGTAATCGTAGGGAAAGAAATAATTTGCCATTTTTTTTTGTCTGTCTTTTTTTTCTCTTTTTTTTCTTTCCAAGTGAGTGGAAAAAAAAAACGTTGCAGGTGTTATTAACTCAATTGTGCGCAAAGGTTTAATTAAAAAGTACCTGGTACGATCGTATATATATATATATATATATATATACGTTTTTATATCATCTTTTAACCTTGGAGGGTAGGGTGAAGGGGTGTTTAAATAGAAAAAAATCACGATAACGTTATAAAGAAAAATTTTCAAATCATTGATTACGAACGGGTTAAAGTTTGTTTTTTTTTTTTACGAAATCTTATCGTTTGATACGTTAGATTCCTTGAATGAGGTAGGGGGGAAGGGATTGATAAAATATCGACAGGGGTATTTTTGTTTATTTTAACCAGATAAATTTCCAATTGACGATTCCCGTTTTAAAGAGATACCCTTTACTTTTCTAAGATGATGAAAATAGAATGAGAAAGATAGAGTGAGAGAGAAAAAAGATATAAAGAAGATAAAGTAAGAAAAGGGGGTAAGAAGATGGTTTCCTTCTCTTAGGAATTCTAGTTCAACGTCATGCTAAACCTTCAAGATCCCGATTATTCGATCCAATTTGCAAACTAAATATTCTTCGGAATTGCCGGAGCGTTGGAAACGGCTCTAGATGATTCTATTCTATCTTAACATCTTCTTTATTAAGGATTTCGACACGTCTCTCTCTCTCTCTCTCTCTCTCTCTCTATATATATATATATATATATATATATATATATATATATCTCTATCTCTCTTTCTTTTTCACGATTATTTCATTTATCGAATATTTGTATTAAACCAGTCGATTTAATTGCCATTTTATTTCTTCCTATGTTAAATAAAAAAATTTAACAAAACAGTATCTCATTTCTTTTTCATTTTATTGTAATTTATTCAATCGAACCAATTTGCATTTATTTATTATTCTTATTATTATTTTTTTTTTAATTTTCATTTCAAATTATATTCACACCGGCATCGATATAAATTGTTCATAACGTGTACGAGTGTTGCATGCATTCATTTGAAAAAGGGTATATAGTAGAAAGCAGGAAATATTGGTGGGGGGAGAGGAATGGTGTGTGCGGTTGGGGGGTGTGACCTTCCTATGTTAAAAAAAAAAAAAA